ATTGTGGATGTCAGTAATCACTACAACAATACCTATAGAAGAACTGTACATTCTTTAGAAATCATGGTGGTAAATCAATGTTATCACGGTTGACGATGACCATAAATGGTGCGCAGAGGACTATTGATGGATTATTTACATGGCAAATAGCATCGCAGCAAGGTATCTCTGCACCTCGACATATATTTATCGCGCTTCAGGAAAATGCACGAGTAAACTCACAATTACGTAGTATAATAATATTTGACAAACTTAGTGTTACTGAGATTTCTCTGAGAACAAATGGGCATCAACAACCAGTTGATGGTGTATTATTAAATTTTGATTAGAATCATGTTGCATGTGCATATCATCGTCTTGTCATTCATTGGGCGTGATCAAAACATTGATTCTGGCTTAAAAACATAATAACTGGATTTTCTAAGTTCTATCCAATTTATTACTTTTCACTCTGTAGTTGATATATACTTTCTAGCTCGTGTGACAATATAAACTATTGCTAATTATAGATAAATCCCTGTTATACTCAATAATAAATCAATATTACTTGAGGCTGTTGTTGGACGAATGAGAGTCGTTGATTTCTGCAGTAGAAAACATGTAATTATGATATTATAATGTCATATAATCACGTTAGTGTTACTCTGACTCCTGGTCGGGTTAAAAAGTTACAATCAACATCAAAAGATAACTGTGGAATAAAACTACCACTGAAAAAAAAGAACAGGTCGCAGGTGGTTCGAATAAGCTGTCATTATCGGTACGTCAGCTCGGGCGCTTTAATAACGTCAAACATATAAAAAACGGTATGCGGGTGCCATTAAGGACATCGCTAAGAAGGGTGTTATATTTCTACTTTTTGCAGCTTTACTAGCGTTAATATCCGCTGAGGCCCCTGCTGTTGAAAAACCAGCTGCGTTAGGTGCTGTTGAAACAACTGCCGAAATGGCAATGAAGAAAGAAACTGGGCAGGGAGACGTGCACGCAGAAAGCTTAAAAAAGATCACGGACATAACACAGAAGACGTCTAAAAGCACCAAACGTCCTGCAACCCACCCGTCTAAGATTGCAAGGCCCACGATATGGTCACGGTCTAAGATTGCCAGGGACCCCATATTCGTGGTACGGAAAGGGTCTAAGACTTCCAGGAACAGTTCGTTTATTCTGACATTGTCCAAATTTGATCAACTTGATGGTGCTAAAAATTAAAAGTAAAAAACTTAGAGGTGTTATTATGCGAGATCAATTACCAAAACAACCAAACAATATTGAAACTGGTATTATTAATCTTGAAACAAACTCTAATACTCATTGGGTTGGGTTGCATACGTGATTGATCCACGTGGAATTATTTATTTCGATTCATATGGACTAGCACCATCAAAAGAATTTTTAAGATATATGAGCAGCGATAAAATCGTTCTGCAGATCATTCCAATCTAGTATTCAACATCACTGACACAAAAATTACAAATATGTGGTCGTGAAGTACCCTCCGTACTTGATGCTTTATCATTGGCATTACTAGGAAAACCACCTCATAAAATCGTGCATGCATATACTATATTGTCCAATATTAAAATAGACATTAGTAAATATAATGGTAAATATTTACGGAAGATCATCTCGCAGTAAAGCTAAGCAGGAAGGCGACTAGTTTAAATATGCAACTCTTTACCAGCTCAGAAATGAAATCGATGAGATATTAAACATAACAAGTGCGATCAAAATGAAGTAGTTAATTTTTTCAGGATGAAAAAGGACAATTACAAGCAAGTAATATACAACTGGAACTCTGCAGTTTCACTGGATCCCTTTCTTATCGATTTACGTTCATATACACCACGAATCCCTTATATCTATTCATTCAAATACTTACATGTATTCATTCACATAGATATAGACGACATGCCGCAATACAGATAGTTACATCCAACTTTGATAGATATAATTAGTTCTTATAGAATACTGAATCTTTCATAAGACATCGTCAGCTCCAATAAGACTCCGTCAGCCCAATAATGTCCAATAAGCTTCCATAATGTTCATTAAGCTCCCATGGTGTTCACTAATGTCCAAAAACTGCCCAAATAGTAACCATTAACATCCAATAGGCTACAATAGTATCCAATTGTGTCCAAATAGCTCAAATAGTGTCCACTAAGCTCCCATAATGTCCATTACCCAATAGGCTACAATAGTGTCCATTAATTAGTGTCCAACAGGCTACAATAGGCTCCCATAGTGTCCACTAGGTTCCCATCATGTCCACTATCCAATACTCTACAACAGGCTCCCATTGTCTACAATAGATTCCGGTAAGTCAATTAACGATTATATTAATTGAAATGGTGAATCGTTCACAGGTAACATTATAATGAATCGAAATAAAATTATAGACCTTGGAAACCTAGCTGCAGACACGGACGCTGTAACAAAAAGTACGTCGACGATCAAGAATCTAAGTATTATTAGCGAACGGTAGTATAATGCGTGAATTTCTCAACATGAATTATAATGGTATTATTAATCTCAGAACTCCAGAATCAGATTTCGACTCTGCAACAAAAATACGTATGTCCATGATAGTAACACACCGATGACGACATCATTAACACCGATCAATGATGGAATGACCACATTCAGGACTGATGTTTTTAAATTTTCGTAGAAATATAAACAGATTTCTTAATGAGTTTTTTAAAGTCCAGTGGTTGTTGATATCAAACTCGCTGACATAACACAAAACTCAACGATATTGTCAGTGGAATTCCTATTATTGTTAATAAAACGAATCTTATTGAAATACCTCACAATCAGATCATCAATATAATGTACACAGTAGCATCAAAAGCACCAACATGGTCACAGCAAAATGGGTAAGAAATAAATCCCCCCAAAATAATTATCTTGGATGAGATATGTATAGTATCCAAAGAAAAGTTACAGGCATTTCTTGATTGGCTATCAACAAAATTTACTACAGTTATCATGTGTTGCGATCATGGACAGCTTCCACCGTTTACAGGTGAACTACCGATTAACTATGTTGTCCACTATGAAGACGTTTTAGATGACCATCGATCACAGGATGAACACCTATAACAAAAATCGTTTATTCGATTACAACCTGACAAAATTCAATGTGAAATATTGAGAACCGTCATTTCAGAGTCTCCAATGTCAGATTTCTGGAACTTGAGGCGCAATAATAATCTAATAGTTGTATCCGGGAAACACATTTGTGATTAACTTCAGCGTAAATTATTTTAGCTTCACAAGAAAAAAAAATCCTGATCATCTAGTTCCATTATCATGTCGACCAACAGATACACGCAGACAAAATATTATCGTTGAAAATCCTGGAACCGGCATGAGGCAAAAACTCGCTTTTAAAGGTCACCGGCCATACTCTAACATTTTTCTTTTTATATCAGACTTGCATTACATGACTGAAAGTAGTTATACTCGCACAAGAAGAACCATAACATAATAAAGTGTAAAGAAGAAATAATAATTTAATTACTCGAAATCAAAGTATACAGTGCTATTATTTCCACATAGATACGACTTCCCACGTATAGAGAACGCCAGCCGGAAATGACGTACAGTTATCCATACAAGACGAAGTATATGCTTCTTGTTGTCGAAAAATGAAGCAATATAAACTATGGCTATGGAACGTTTAGATGAAACTACCGAAAACTAATTTACTGTTTATTCTTATATCGATATACCTGCACCATGGACTAGATTGTGTCACTTTCAATACGTTTTCATTGTTTCAATTTATTTTGAACTTTCTCGTAAATACAGGTGAAATGAAATCAATGCTGGCTTCCCTATGTCGGCTGACTATTTTAAAAAAAAAACAAATTGGGCACACCTAAAACAATACAAAACAACCAAACTTGACTTCCTTATGTAGACCGACTTCATAAGAAAAATCGGCACACTTAAAATATACTAAAGTCAGTTTCCGAAGCTGGTTTGCTTTGTAATAAAATAACCTTTGTATTTGATATCATGTCGGTAACTTTAAGGCAAGAGTCTAACTACATGCGACGAAAATCACGGAAAGCATGGTATATATGAGTATTTGACCATGACTATTATTCACTCCTATGGATTTAATCTTGATTCATTTTAAAAGAGACACGGGTCATTTGGATTTTGTCAGGGAGTGGACGTTCTCCATTATGTTCTCTGGCCATAGGGGTAACCAATTCACGTTTCTATGTCATATCGGGTAATGAAGCCTTCTAAGTTGCGAACTTTATTATTACATTTTATGTGTCGAACAATTTAAATCAGAATCCAATTTTATAACCAGTTTAATTTAATTTTAGCTGTCTGTTTAGGGCTGACGGTAGCTGTATAGGGTAGGGTGTATCTGTCCATAAAGTGGCGTGCTCTCTGTTTAGGGTTGAGTGTAGCTGTCCATAGAATGGTGTGTTGTGCATACGTATATGTATCACTGTCTAGGTTTGAGCGTAGCTGTCCGTAGTGCAGTGTGCTGTCCGTACGTATAGTAAGATTATACATGTGTTGGAACCACTAATATAAATGTAACCAATACAAAGGTACTGGGTGCCATCTATACGTGTAAGTACTTGTGGTGGATCCGTGAAGTGTGTGAGCGGTCGATAAATGTGGGCCAATCCAAGGATCCAGTGAAACTTTGTGGTGTAACAGTTTGTGAATTGTAGAACTGTTTTGCCTTCATTGTTGCTTTACATTACATGAATTTATGTGTGATGTGATGTCATTATGATATTTAACGTAACTTTTAAAAAACATTCAGTCGTATCGCTACGATGTCTGCAGTGTGGCAGTTTATAGTGATGTATAGCACTGGGGCATCATGCCGCAGACATTTAGCATGATATCCCACCCAGTTACATTATCCTGACACCAGGCCGATCAGTTTTAACACTAATCTCTTAATGCTGAGCATCAAGTGAGGCAGCTGTTAGTACCATTTTTCTAATTCTTTGTTATGACTCGACCGGGGATCGAACCCACGACCCCACGCATCCGACGCTGACACTCTAGCCACTAAGCCACCGGAGCTGTTCCATTAGTTTGTGTGAATCTGGCTTTCATTGTTACATTACATGAATTAATGTGAATCTTGCTTTCAGTATTACATTACATGAATTTATGTGAACCTCGCTTTCATTGTTGCATTACCATGAGTTTATGTGGATCTCGCTTTCATTGTTGCATTACCATGAGTTTATGTGGATCTCACTTTCATTGTTGCATTACCATGAGTTTATGTGGATCTCGCTTTCATTGTTACATTACATGAGTTTATGTTAATCTTGCTTTCAGTATTGCATTACCGCGAGTTTATGTGGATCTCGCTTTCATTGTTGCATTACACGAGTTTATGTGACTCTCGCTTTCCTTGTTACATTACATGAGTTTATGTTAATCACGCTATCAGTGTTGCATTAACATGAGTTTATGTGGATCTCGCTTTCATTGCTACATTACATGAGTTTAAGTGAATCTCGCATTCAGTATTGCCTTACATGAGTTTATGTGGACCTCGCTCTCATAGTATTCATTGTCTATTTGAAATTTAATGTATTACATACGAGAGATTATGTGAATCTCGTTACGTTGCTACGTGATATTAGTGGAGACATTTTACAGTCCGTGAGGTTATTTGAACCTCACTTTTTCATGCTAAAGCTATATGAATCGTATTTTTGTATATTTTTTTTTCTTTCATTTCGTGAATGTAGAGTGATTGGATCAATCGTATGATAGGAGTGGAAGATTCAGTGCATTTGTTTTATATTCATTTATATACTTAGTCATTTTTTATAGAGTAATATACTCCATAACATTGTGTTAGCGTTGTTTATTTAATCCAACAAAAGAAACCCACTCGGTTTCAATTCTGCTATAGTAATCATAATTGATGTTTGCAGAGCAAATAATATACAAAACAATAACTTGCTTTAGTAATACTTTTGTAACCCATGCTTAAGAAAAGATTATCATTGTCACTCACAGTGAATGGACTTTAAAATAATGATTTTGTTTGCCAGATTCCGTCGTTTAGTTAACCTGGATACAATACAATCTGGGTCAGTTTGCACTTTGTAACTTATCATGCCTGAATGGCAGGTACCTTCAAGCAATCGGGTGATATTTTCTTCTCTTTTGCGATTTTGTTATCTGACATGAGTGATATACAATATGCGTATAGTAAGGATGCATATGCATACCGGCATCCGCTACATATACGGAGTGCGTGAATATATATTTATTTTTTTAGAATAAATTTCGCATATTGAAAAAAGAAGGAATAATTGATAACAATGCAAAATTAGTTTCTTAAATTTTATTTTCAAAAAAGTATGTTTATCTTTTTTTTGTACCATGCCGGGAGGGGGTAGGGCAAAAATTCAATACAAAATTATTTCCTTTCTTATTTGTATGGAATTATGGAGCAAATATGATTGAAGATATTGACTAGTAATGACAAGCTTTTAATTTACGCGCGCTCACAGTAAACAACTTGAAAAATAAAAACAAACAATAACATTAACTGGCAAGAGCTTCATTTTGCAGCAATATTATTCTATCTCTCTCGGTGTAATTGAGTGTGTATTATATTCAGCAGTGTTACAACCTAAAGCCTAAAATTGAATATTTTGTTATAATATATCATGTATACTACCCTTAGAAAAATGTATACTTATTCTGTAGAATATTATATGGTAAGTAATATTTTTTTATAAAGCAAAATTGGTAATTTGTCCAGAAGACTTAAATTGAGAAAGTCGTTGTGCAGATGCAGATATTTTTAGCACAAAAAATGTATATAAATATTTTACTTAGAACTACCAAGATATGTTATTTTGTGTTTTCTCTCATATATGTGTTCGTTGCCAAGTATGGTTATTTTCTTTGAAAAATATCGAGATGGTTTGCGTAAATTTAGTTCTTTTTACTTACTCAAACACATTCCTAAAACCTATCTTACATTGTATCTACTTGATGTTTTAAGAAAAAGAACTTGTTCAAGATATTGTTAAATTGGGTAGAATTGTCTTTCGATTTGGGCCGAATTGTCCTTGGGCCAAACTGACTATAATTCGGCATAAATGATACAACTTTCCCATCCCACACCCTATTCGAGCCCACAGCTTGAATCCATCTTTTTCTTGGTAAACCGAGTCTTTTGGAAAAAGAAAGAGCCCATTTTCCTATCATTACTCTTTTGGTTACATCCATATGCGACACGGTGCACCATATGTACTGTACAAAAAAGCACGATCGTAAGACATATCACATAGATATCTACGTGGGAAATTAAATATCTGAATGCTAGGTTAAATACAAGGGATAAATGCCAAATATTGTTTTCATTTAAAAGCGGGTTTTTAAGTTTATTTAAAGCATTTTTATGGTGTGTACACATAACAAATGTTTTTTGTTTATGCCTATCATAAAATCACACGTTTGTACAATATAGGTGGTCAGTGACCTTTAATGATATTATCGATGTTCCGTACAGTCTGGACAACGATTGTTGTCGTTAAATCCATTGTGCTGGACTATGGAATATGCAATAACAATTCATTCGTCTCAGGGATTAACAATATCAGATACGATCATCGACAATCCAGATATAAATTTGATCTGGCTGTGTCTAGAGTAACAAAAATATATGTTCTACAAAGGGTTGTCTACGTGTTGGAGTTGCCAGCAGTATCTTCGCTACCGCCGTAAAAAAAAAAAAAAAAAAAAAAACACCTAGCAACAATGTCACCAGGAATTATCGACGCAGTAAGGCAAAAAATTAGCTGGCTATGCGAGAGATGACAGAAAATAATCAATTTTGATCTGGATGTGGAAGTTGTCATGATGCTGAAACAAAGATCAAATGATCACTGCGCATGCTGTAAGAAAATAATATTGTATTAATATTTTCCTAATGACGTACGGCAATTGACTGTAGACAGAATTGACAGTAGTCTCGGCCACACACGCGAACATTTCACACTGACACGTCTTGAAGTTAACAAACGTAGAGACGCTTTGTTCCTCAACACGCATGTTTCTTGTTAGCGTTTTTTGTTGACGCAAAGAAGGGGGGTTGTTGGAGTGCGCTAGTGTATGTGATGCTGTATCCAATCTGGTGGTAACTAGGTGTTTTTAGGAATTACCTGTAATTGTTCACGCACAAATCCACGTAGAAGAGCTGTTGAATTGAGTCTATAGATTGTAGGGTGCGTCATACACCTTACAACGCTGGAAATTTTATGAGTTGTTACACTCCACACAGGATCAGTTGCTCTTGTTGCACCACTTTCAAGTTTGCCAGGTTGATATAAATATCTAATTGTTACTTTACTTCCCAACACTGGTTGTTGAAGCTGATCTGGTGATTTTCGTCGTAGTATGTATTTGTTTTGCAATTAAATTGACAGGTTTCATGTTAATTCCACTCGTGACCTCGTTGTTTAACGCGGCCACCAAGCGAGTTAGTCTCGCAACCCATTCACAAGATCTGTCCTGAACAAGCAGTAGTTCTTGGGCATATTGATGTCCAAAGAGTCGCTGTGCAAGTTTTTGATTAAATTGTTGAATGAATGCCTGATCGTGATGTGTCGCAGTGTCCACGTCTGATTTTTAAAATGTCATTGCTGCACTGATAAATTCTTTACCAGAATCAACCTGTAGCAGTTGTGGCCATAACAGGCTGACGTGTGGCCAGGGTCCACGTTCATAAATTTGCTCAAACGCTGCTGAGCAATCAGTTTCTATTTTAGACAATAGCGGCTCTGCCTCTTTGTATCTACTTGCAACATCTACGACAGTCAACGCGTGCCTTTAATATACGTCATGTGGTAAAAACAAGATATCTGCCTGATAAACTTCGTTCGGTGTATTGATATCAAACCGTCCATGTTGAATTATTATGGGACGTGGAAAATTTGCCATATGGCTTGTCGTGACAACCATTCTGAGGTTACAGCTGGTGTGACACCTGCTTCATCGACGAGTTTTTAATCGCTGCTGTACATCTCCAATATCCTCTTGGACAACAAAAAATAAACTCCCTTATGTAATTTATTTTACCTTTCATCACCAATTTTACCAATCAATTCGCGAGAGATTCTCGTATATTTTTATTTTTTATCGAATTCGTCATGTGGATTATCAGTGCAGCAACGACATTGGAATTAACATGAAACCTGTCAATTTAATTGCAAAACAAATACATACCACGACGAAAATCACCAGATCAGCTTCAACAACCAGTGTTGGGAAGTAAAGTAACAATTAGATATTTATATCAATCTGGCAAACTTGAAAGTGGTGCAACAAGAGCAACTGATCCTGTGTGGATTGTTATCCGAGATATGTCGTTGTTGTAGATCTGGATGTTTTTATGTGACATCATGAACATGGCACGATCGATCAATCGCAGTTTTCCGAAATTTGCCTTGTTTTGGTTGATATTTTTGTCAAGTCTAATATCAAGGCAAGTTTAAGGACCACAATATAATTATATCCAGGAAGATGCTTCTCTCTAGGATACTCAACCCAAGGTGGTCAATGTATTTTGCCGAGAGCTTTAGCAATATTGTCGCCATTTTTTTGCGACAGGAATACTCACACTTATATTTTTGCCGAATTTGACGCATTTACATGTAATTGCCGGCGTGTTACCTTTCAGCATGGTGCATGGTTGCTCTCAGAAATTTTGTACCAGTGACTGTATTGCATTTAATACAATATAGACTCATGTTTATAAATATTATATCTGTACAATATGAACATGACTGACTTTTCAGCGACACGTGAGCAAGCACCAGTCAAGCATCATCCAGTGTTACCAAATTCCATTCGAGGTATTATAATGGGTCCATCCGGGTCGGGTAAAAAGCTAGTTGTTGATCAACCCGATAATGATGTGGCTCAAATGGGACAAATTTTATTTAGTAGCGTCATCTGTAGATGACCAATGATGCTATAATGTTATTAAAGGAATTAATGAATATGTTGAGGCAGAGGACGATGCTATTGAATTTATCACAGACA